ATATGGGTCGTTCCCCTCGGGTTTCGAGGGGTGTATCCCCAACTTGGGTGGCAATTTGGTGGGGGTCTCGAAGGGGATGGGGATGGGGATGGGCATTGGTTAAACGATAATGAAAAAAGCATTACCTTTTGGCGCTCCGCGCGGGATTTTTGGATCTGCGCTGGCGCGCGGAGCGCGCAAGGGGCGGCGCCGGATGCGCCGCCGGGGGGGGGGCGGGGCCAGCGCGGATCCAAGACATCCGCGCGGAGCGGCACAAGTTTAGGCTTATGACGTTCTTCCTTCTTCGAGTGCTGCCGATCGCGGCGCACAGTGGCGCGTGCGGGGCGAGCACCAACCGTGCAGCTAGCGCGCTCCCGCCCGAGCTGGCCGCACCTGCCGCGAAGCGCCAGCCCGTCCCTCAAAAGGCAGGGCCGCGGTGTGGACAGCAGCCCTGGAGAGGCTGACCACAACCCGGAAGCCGGGGGGCTCCATGTGCACCACTCTTGGTTGTGGTTTCCTGACCGAGAAACCCGCCAAAACGGTGAAGGCCCCAAGAGGACCCTGCCTCCATGCGCACCAAGCCATCTTGGGTGTGCAGCGAGTCACGGTGGACCTGGTCTTCTCACCGTTCCTTGATCTGTTTGTTTGGGGGACATGGTCTTCTTACAGTCACAGTCTTCAGTCTCCTCACCTCTTGAACCCCACCAGCCCTACGCGCCGTCAGGGCGTAGGTGGTTTAGGGGCGCTTCCTCTTCCAACCTCCCTTCTTTCCCGTCGGGGGGGGGGGGACAGTGCTCCTTACCATTCTATACCCCCTCCCCCACCAGACTGGCGACAAACCCAGATGCCGACCCCCCCCCGCTGTACCTTGCAAAACAAACAACACAACGTGCACTTTGCACCAAAATCTTGACCGTGCGCGGACGCCGCGGCCACTTGGCAGTAGTTTCTGACAAGGGGGCGAGGGGGGTGGGAGGACGGTACATTGCCTGCTGCGTCCAGGCTCACATCCCACGCCATCCGTGTCAAGAGAACGAGTGCGTAGTTCAAATTACCAGGGACGGCGGGGGGGAGGGGCGGCATGCTGCCTGTAGCGCGCAAGCCCAACAATCCCTGTCAAGAACAGGTGGAAAGTCATTGCGGCTGCACGCCCACACAGCAACACAGTGCTCGCACACCCGGGGTCGCTCTGCATTGGTGTTGGATCGTGGTGGCAGGTGGGCCGGCAGATTGCCCGACGGGGAACGCCCTAGGCTGCCCGTGGGGCACCCGGCACGTGCGGCGCACCTCGCGGGCGTCGCGCACCTCTGCAGTGGTTCCCGCTGGGTTGTCGATGGCGGCCCCCGCCCATGCTGAGACGCGGGTGCTGCTTGTGTACAGTCGGGGCCCTGAAGAAGGAACCCTTTTCGTTGGGGAGGGGCTCCGCGTTCCTTAAGTGTTTCACAGCTTGCCTCAGGCTTTCCTTCTGTTTTCGACAGGAAATCGAAGGTTAACTTATGGGAAAAAGGGGCCTCGTTCCTTATTTTGGGTTCCTTAGGTCAAGGCCCCGACTGTAGTGGAGGGGGGGGGGGCGGGAGCGAGCGAGACAACCTGAAGCGTGCTCGCGGGGAGCTTGACCCCTCCCGCTGCGCCCCGCCCCTGGGCCTGGGGAGGGGAGGGGGGGATCGCGAGCGGTGAGAGGGCCCAAGACGGCCTCCCTGCCTCCCCTTTCCCATCCCTGGCCATCGCTCGGACGTCCATGTTCTGTGTTTTTTGGTTCGGTGTCGTGCGTGTTTTTTTTCCGCGAAGTGATCAAGGATGCTCCTCGATGGTCCTCGATGCTCCTCGATGCCAGGATCCTCGCTTCTTGAATTCTGTCGGGGGGCCGCTCGGGCGGATCTGCCGGACAGATCGGCCGCGCCATCGCGGGATCAAGCTCTTCACCTGGCGACGCTCAGCGCACTGGGGGGACGTGGGGGCACGGCTACGAGGGGGGCGAGCGACGGGACTGCCTGCTGTGTGTGCTGCTGATGCTGCCAACCCTCCTCGCAGAGAAAACGGCAAGGCTCGATGTGTACACCACGTCGCTTGGTCGGCCAACGAGCTCGGTGTACGAACACATCTGCGGGAAGCCTGAAGCGCCCATGCGATGAACTTCTTTACCAAACACCTTGGCTCCCTGACCGACAAGACGCCGTGGTGTACAGCATCGAGACCATCCGAGAAAACAGAGGCGCCTCGGGTTGAAGGACAGGAGGCATCTATAGAGTTCCTGGACCCCAGATGAGAAATGGTCGGAGGATCGCGCCGCATCGCCCATACATCGTCGACGTCGGCGATGCATCGGCGCCATCGGCCTGGAGAACATCGGGATCCACATCGAGCCGTATCGCCGATTCATCGGCGATGCGGAACGATCCTTCGACCCAATCTGCTCGGACCCCATCTGGGAGGTCTAGATCCCAGACCCCCGACGTCGTGATTTCTTTACAACGTCGACCCCCTGGACCCCTTTCCCTGAGACCGGCTTTTCATCCTGAATCGTTGTTTGACGGCTCCGAGGCCCGGCGAGGGCCCGCGGAGGCCGAACATAGCGAGAAGCCGCCCGTCGTGCCTTTTTCGCGACACGGTGGGGTCTGGGATTCCAGGGAGGCTGGGGGGCGGGGGGCGCACACCTCCGGGCGTCCGCAAGGGTCGGGGGCGAGCGCCCTCTCGCGAGACTCGCACGCTAAAACAGAGCTAAGATCGGGATAAATCGCTCCAGAGCGTTCCGGAGCGCTCTCAGAGCGTTCCGGAACGCTCTGGAGCGGCCGCGGCGCCCAATACATCCTCCAAACCCGCTGATTCTCAGAGACTTTCGAGTTATCCCGATCCGATTTTGTCCCGATCTTCGCGTCGTTTGAGTCAGAGTCGGGGGCGAGCACCCTCTCGCGAGACTCGCACGCGCCGCGCGGCTCGGCCTCGCTCGGCGCCGCCTCTGACAGAGGCCGCCCCACCCCCCCCCGGGGAGCGCCCGGAGCGCGGGGGGCCGGACGCGCGGCCAGGCGGGCAGGGCGAGTGCGCACGGCGAGCCCACAACGAAGGGGCCCTGGGACACACAAATAAATACTTTTTTTTTACAGCCGCAGGCGGAAGCGCCGGCGGCGAGCGGCCACGGTCGGGCTGCGGCCGCGACAAACACAAATAAATGCACACACAGATCAAAGGATTCCCCATAGTTTCCCATGTTTGCTGGGTTTCTGTCTTCCCCCCACTTCCCCCCACTGCCCATCTTTTCCGACATTTTCCTGGGGGTGGACGATTCATTGTGTCTCTGTGTGTTTGATCCTCTCCTGACACACCCCGAGCAGTCAACCCTTCTCAGAAGGGTGCGCGGGAAGGATGCGGGGGCCTCCGAAGCCCACGCGAACGCTTTCGAACGAGGCTGGCCAGCGAAGGCCGCGTAGGATGGGCCGAAAAGGCAAGGCTGCCAGGGTGGGCCAAGCTGCCAGGGTGGGCAAGGGTGGGCCGGAAGGGCAAGGGCAAGGCTGCCAGGAAGGCCGCTTAGGATGGGCCGAAAGGCCGAAAGGGCAAGGCTGCTAGGGAAGGTTGCTCATCCTTGCTGTGCGGGTGGGCTGCAGGAGGAGCACAAAACTGCATCGTCATAAGCTTTCGGAACTCCGTGCGGACTTCTGGGATCGGTGCCGCACGCCCCTCGCCTGTGGCGCCAGCGGGGGTCCAGCGTCGATCTAAGAAATCCGCACAGAGATCCGCAAAGGGTATACGTGTCTCTGGCAGGTTCTTCTTCGACCGATGGCCCCCGCAGTCCCGCCCGGATAGAATCGAGGGGCTGCTGAACATGTCCACAGCGTTTGACTCGTGACGAAACGAGCCCGCCGCGGTCGTCGACCTTTCCTTGTACAGCGCAACCCAAAAACGGCGAACCATTGGACAGGGTCATGGGCCCCAGCATCGCCACGATCGAATGGGTACGCCAACGGTGGGAACGCAAACCAACAACGGTTCCTGCCCATGTTGATCCGGCTTCTCTTTCGGTGTCGTCGCGGGCGTGGTCCATTTGAGACTGGAGATCGCCTGCCAAGCAGAGGACGCTGTCGGCTTGTCGGGGGGAGGTGCCACTGGCCCACGGTACCCCCAGCTCTCCGCTCAATTGTGGAGACCATGGTTGGAGGCCTGGAAATTGGCACCAACACCAGCACAGGGGGTTGCTTCCACATGGGGAAGATGATCCTAGATTTCGGTGTTGGTGGTATTCTTTCGGTCACCTTGGAAGCCAGAATATTACCACCATCACCGAGATCGGGATCGTCTTCCCTCGGTGGAGGCACACCGCCGATCTTGGTGTTGGTGTCAACCTCTAGACCTGCGACATGGGGCCCTCTGGGCCTCGTGAGGGGCACTCTGGAGGCCGCGGGGGCCTCCTTAGAAATCTCGGGGGCAAGCCTTGGGCTAGAGGCAGGCACTTCCAGCAGCACCCTAGCGTTGGGCCCGATCCGCGGCTAGGGATCGTACCCATTTTTCATGTACTCTTCTCGGGGGGCCCAATATCGAATAGGGGATCGGCTGCAGAAGTGATGTACCCCAGAACTGATGTTCTCGTCAAATCAGCGAAGACATACATGGAACGCTCCGTAGATGTACGGAGCGGTCTGCGCATTTGTTCGTAGATTCTACGGAACAGACAAGTCTAGGGTAAGTGCATCCTGTAGTCGATGCCCTACTCAACCACTACTCGATCCCCCCTCAGGCCCCGAGCGGTAGGCCGTGGACGGGCTCCGCCGGGACACCCCCTCGGCCAGAACACGAGAAGGGGTCAGGATGACAAGGAAAGCGCAGCGACGCGCGCTCGCCCCGAACTGGCCCGTGCTAGGAACAAGGCGACCCCAACACCACCAGGCCGAGGAGATGCGAGAAGGCAAGGGAGGTTTCTCTGGTGGTGTGGCCACCCCCTCTCGCTCGAGACATCCCCAGTCTCCAGCTCGGGGAGGCATCGCGGACCTCAGCGCTGGAGGTGGGCACCCTGGTGGTGTTGGTGTCGCTTCTCATCTCTCCGACGTGCGTGTGCGAGTTGAAATAGGTTCGCGCGAAGGGGCCCTCATCACTCCGATGGGGTAGGTTTCAAGTCTCGCCAATTCGATGGATTCCGAGCCCCAACCCCGCCGCCCATTGCTCAGATCATTGATCGGCGAGGGTAGGGTCCGAATTGCGCCGCCGATCCGTGCATGAACCAGGCATGCGGATGTGGCGCACCTGAGGCAATACCGAAGATGGGCCTGCAGCACGATCATGCGCGGCAGCTGTGGCGGCCAGTCATCCCCAGGACGAGCAGCGGCTCTGGCACTCACTTCCTCCTCTGACCGACCCGCTGCCGGGTGCGCTCGGAGCAGGCGAGTTGAGACACCAGAAGCTCGAAAAGTCGTGGCCCCGACCACTCCTAGGGTCCAACCGCGCCCGTGTTCCGGCGACGAGGGGCCCCCAGCGGCGAGGGGCCCCCCGAAGGCCACCTACCGATGTCTCGCCTCGCCCTGCCGTGGCGGGCGCACACTCACGCTGCGCCGAGCAGTCACTCCGCCCGCGAGCGCGAGCGGCGAGCTCCAGTGGCGCCAACGACGGCGGCACTGCGCTCGCCAGAGCGGCGCTGGCCCCGCGCCCGCCCTCGCAGCGGCAGCTGGGCAGGCTTCAGCGTCGCCGGCAGCTGGGCAGGCCTCGACGTCTGCTCGGCCTGAAGGGCAGCGCTGGGGGGGAAACTCTTGATTTGGACGCCCGAAATGGGTACGGAAAAAATGGGCACTATGCCCAACAACAAATGTTGTCCCGAACCAACAGCGGCCGCTGTTGGGCAGGCGGCCTTCTGTCTCAAATGGACACAGGCCGCGGCGGCGTGGACAACGAATCGTGTTCAAAATGAACAGGAACTGCTGTTGGGCATCGTACCCATTCTTTCCGTGCCCATCTCGTTCGTGCAGACTCGACGCTCAAGGGGGGGAGGGAGAGGCATCTAGCCGGAATCGGCGGCCGGATCGGCGGCAGGCCCCCGACTGAGAACTCGCGCGCCGCTGGGCGGGTGGGGCCCGTCGGGCACCCCTCGGCGATCCGTGAACGCATGGGGCGCCGATGCGCCCCGCCCGCCCTCCCCGTGAGCCTCTCCTCCCCCCCCGACGCCGCCCAGGGCCGACCCGCTGCCGGGCGGGCGCCGCCCGCGCCCGCTGCCGGGTGGGCCCGCGCAGTCCGAGCCGTCACTTCGCTGGCGCGGCCGAGCGGCGAGCTCCGGCGCAGCCGACGGCGGCAGCACCTTTTCTCGGTGGCAGCTCACGGGAGCCTCCCGCACCATCTCTCGTCGGCTCTTGCGAATCGACGCTCATCGATGCCGAATCGGCGCTCGTCGGCGCTGGCCGACGCTGCATCGAGGCTGCGGCATCGACCCCAGACGCGGATCGGCGCGAAGCGACGCCGAGGACAGAGGTGCGAGGGTACGCCGGGCTCCCACGACTTGCTACCGAGCAGCACCGCGCTCGGCGCAGCCGCGCGTGCCGAGCGGCCGCCCGCGCCGCAGCAGCTGGGCAGCCCTCAGCGCCTGCTCGGCCTTGGCGAGCAGGCGCGCGCAGGTCGCCTCCCTCCGCGCCTCGAGGCGCCGCCGGGTGGCGGCCACGTGCGCCTGGCGAGCCTGGGAGGACGCCAGCCATCGTTCGAGGAACACTCATTGACATAAACATGCAGTAGGGGTACGACAACGAGAAACCTTCCACAATAAACCAAACTTGGAGGCCCCAGGCCTTCCATCGACTTGTGGTGTGGGAGCGTCACGCGTTGCATAGCGAAGCCATCGAAACACCCTGGAGGCAAGCAGGGTGTTTCTTGGCATGGGTCTCGGCTCTCTTTGGGATCGGCGCTGGAGTCCCTTGGCGGCGTCTCTGCCCCAACCCCCCTGGCGCGCTCCGCGGGAAGGTAACAACACGCCCGCGCAGCAGTGGTTTCTGGTCAGCTCGGGGCGGCACTCTGGCTGACACTGCCTGCCACTCAAGGCACGGTAGGTTCGCGCCGTGACGACTCTGGCGTTGGCTTCCGACGCCCGCGTGGATCGTTCCACCTTGCACGGTCGGCGGCTGTCCGATCGCCGGGTCGTTCCATAGCCGCCGCGTCAACACGCTACGGACCTGACTGCTTTTTAACTCTGGGCAGCAGCCGCTCCTGGCGCGCTCCGTGCGCCAGGGGGGGCGCAGCGCCGACTTCCCAGAAATCACCGCAGACCTCCGACAGCTTACGCTCAGACCGGGCCTTCAGGCGGATTTTGGACGAAAAATGCAAAAACAAAACATGCTCAAACAGAAATTCAAAAATGATCGAAACATCGTCCCCAGATAACTATTTTCTCTTTGTCTGAACATTCCTCCTGTGGAGGGGCACGCCCGACTTGAAGTTGCGCTCGTTCCCTGGCGCGTGCACCTGCGCCGCCCCTGGCCGGGCTCTTTTCCTGGGCCCAGGAGCGGCGCAGAGCTGTGCCCCTCCGGGCCCGGGCGGGCTTGCAGGGACAGACCCTCGGATTCGAGCGTCCCCCCCAGAAAAACAAGTCACGTCGCGAGACACCGTGGCCCGAGTGATAGGCCTGTTTTTCACCACCACCACCACCAGAAGTTAGACGAGGAGGGGGTCCTCCTTCTCCTCCTCCTCCTCCTCCTCCTCCTCCTCCTCCTCCTCCTCCTTCTCCTCCTCCTCCTCCTCCTCCTCCTCCTCCTCCTCCTCCTCCTCCTCCTCCTCCTCCTCCTCCTCCTCCTCCCTCCCCCTCCTCCTCTTCGTCCTCCTCCTCCTCGTCCTGCTCCGCCTATTTCCCATCCAACTTATGGTGGTGGTGGTGGTGGAAAACAGGCCAATCACCGAGCCCTGGACCCCACCTTGCTGCGCCATTGTTCGAGCCAGATCGACTTTGGAGGGCTCTGGGGCCCGAAAGCGAGCGAAGCCGTCGGGCTCGAACACTGTGCTGTCGGAGGTCCCCAAATCTGAAGTCGCTTGGGTCGCGCACACAGTGGGGGGCATCCTCACCAGCCGCGGTCTGGCGGGGCCTCACCCGAGGGGTGGGAGGGGCACGAAATCTCTTAAACAGGTATGGTGTTCGAATACACTGCTCGCTCTGGCGGGGCCGCCCTGGACGGGTGGGAGAGGCACAAGCCCTGTAAATTTGATGATTCGTATACCCTGCTCGCTCTGGCGAGGCCGCCCAGGAGGGGTACGAAAAAAGGCACGAAACCCTGTACGGTGTTCGAATGCCCTGCTCGCCCTGGCGGGGCCGCCCTGGAGGGGTGGGTGCCATGGCACCAAGCTTGGCCGAATCGCGTACGCTTGTCTGGTTGCAATTCGTGAATCAAGTCACGGCGAATAAAACCCAAAGACAGTGAACACACAAAATGTCAATCAAGGCTCGACCCTCGCATGATCATCCGACGAGGGTCCGTGTGCCCACTCGCAACATGCAGTCGAACCTCGTGTGTGAGCCTTTGAGCAAGCAGATATTGAAGCGACATGGCGTTCGAACGCTCTTGTATATCAATATGACCAGGACTCGTGGCGCAATATGACCAGGATGGGGTGGGAGTGACACGAAACCTTGTGAGTGAGCGTTCTCTGAGCCAGCGTTTCGACACGGGGCGGGGAGGGGGAGAGGGGAGGGGTCTCGCTCCGGACCTGCTTACAGCGACTGTTTGCAACCGTGCGTCCCATGGGGAGACCCCACCTGCTCGAGACAGGCGCCAAAACACAGCCAAAATCTACTCCATGGGGGGAAGGATGCGAGGGCCCACTCCGATCGGCAAAACAATTCGCCGGCCCAACGGGCCAGAGGCGTGCTAAGATCTCCGGTAACTACGTAACAATATTTCTAGTTCGCGAGCGCGGGGCGGCCCCTGGGGGGGCCCTGACGAAGAAAAGTACCCCGGCCGATCCCCAGCTGACCCCCGGGCGATCCCGAGGGGGGAGGGTTTTTTTTCGCCAAGCCTCACGAGGATCGTGGCCTCCGAGGGGGGGGCTGCGAACGACTACCCCCCCTCCCGCCCCAAGGGGCCCCCAAGAGCCCCCCAAGAGGCCCCAGGGGAGCCAAATACGCCGCCAAGGAGCCCCAAGACGCTCCCAAGAAGCCCCCAAGAAGCCCCAAAGGCGGCCCCAAGAGGCCCCAAATAGCGCTCCAGGGCCGGCGGAATGAGCGAAGCGATTAATAACTTATTCACTGCGTGGAGCTCCCTGTATGTGCACCTATTAGCACGGACCTGTCCGCCCTGAGTGTCTCGGCGCAAGAGTTCTCGAATATAAACGGGCTCGAGTATTGACGGTCTGGGAGTGACTCTAACTGTGAATGGTTGGAGGGAGAATGAATCCCAGTAGTACGAGCGCGTCCGGGCGAAAGAGGGGGTAGCAAAGGGGGGGGTTGAATCAGCTCACGTAGCTGATTTTCCCGGCGCCTCTCGAGGAATGGGCCCAGCGGCGGGGCCGAAACCAGTTCCATGTAGCAGATTTCGTAACCCCCCCTTTCCCTGTCCCCCCTTTTCGTTCGGCCCGAGCCTGGGGCGTCCTGGAGCCTAGCCTCCTGGATCCTCTTGGGGCTCCTGGGACCTCGCGTGGCCGGCCTCATGGGGCCCAAACGGAACCTCCCAGAGCCTTCTGGGGCTTCCTGGGGAGGATCAGTGCCCCCGGAGAGGCCCAATCTACAGGTACAAACGTACACAAAACACTGCGGACTGGAGCCGCAAGAGAAGGGCAATCGATAGGTACACGCGTAAAACACTTAGGATTGGATACGCAGGGGAAGGACAGTCTATAGAAACATATGTAAAACACAAGAAAAGATTCGTGCTCCAGGGAGGTCCCAATCTACGGGAGCGTACGCACAACAAGTGGGATTGGAGCCACTCCTGTGGCCTTTTGAGGCCTCCTGCTCCTGGGGCCTCTTGGGACCTTCTGGTGCCCTCCGGGGCCTCCAGGAACTTCCTGGCGCTTCCTGTGGCCGCCTGCGGCCTCCTGGAGCCTCCGGAGGCCTCCTGGAGCTGCCAGGTGCCTC